GCTGTCAATACGGATAATAATGTGATATTCAGTTTTGGTCACAATTTTTGGGGACAATTGGGACGGAATGTGGATATGTGTTGGACTGTATACCATAAACCGGATACTATATTATATTTCCAAACAAACAATTTAATTATTTCACAAATAAGTTGTGGTTATTATCACACAATTGTGTTGACATCAAATGGGCACGTATTCGGGTGGGGGTGTAATGACTGGGGACAGGTTGGTTGTGATGAACAAAGGTTTCAAATAGATCCAGCTCCTATTAAATTTGCCATTGAATACCAAATTAGTAAAATTGTGTGCAATAGTCTGTCATCACTTGCCATTACCCGTGAGGGACAGGTGCTTATATGGGGAGAGGTTGATAATATAATAAAAACACCAAATATATTAGAAAATGCAATTAACATACAAAATGCACTTTTAGTAGAATACTTCTATGCATATTTGTTATGCAACCATGGTCACTTATATCGATATGACTTTCATAATAAATGTATGAAAATATTATCACATTTTGTGTTCAATGAAATCAAACAAAAATATTGGTTTAATTTAACATTTTTAAAAGAACATGGTATAAAAATTGTGGGAAAATCTGGTGATAAAATATATGAAATTGTTGGCGAAAATGTGTTTGAAACCAATTATACATTATTTGATGATTATATTACAAATGAATGGCAAATCACTTTAAACACCATTTCAACATATATTCAACAAAATACACACATTTGTGGTAAATATGAAAATAATGTCTTAATTGTCGCCTTAATCTTCTGTGCATTGAATTGATTGTTATTATTGTTTTATTATAGAAACTCACGATAAGTTGAATAATTCAATATCGTTTGAAAATTCATTTGATGTAATAAATAAACTTGGTGAGGGTGGCTATGGACAGGTATATAAAGTTCAAAATAAATGTGACCATAAATTATATGCAATAAAAATATGTCAATTAAATGGTAAATATTTTTAAAATATACAAAATTTATAATCATTTTTAATATATTTGTATTTTTCTAAAGGATTGTCAGAAAAAGAGAAACAAAATGTTTTGAATGAAAAGCAAAGTCTTGTGAAACTTCGGTCAGAGTTTGTGATTCAATACTACTATTCATGGATTGAATGCAATTGTCTTTACTTTCAAATGGAGTTATGTATCAATAATCTCAACCATGTTTTG